ATTTTTATGTATATGTATACTAATCTGATTAATACGCAATTAGTTATTCTATATAACCTGTTAGTGCTAAAGCAGTGGTATGCACGCTAGCTGGAACTAGCCCCCGTGCATCCAGCGCTGCAATAAAGAATGCCTGCTTTCTAAAACTCTGAGTCTTAGAGAGTTTCTTCGACCGGCTTTTCGGTATCAGGGCTAGCCGGCTGGGAACCGCAGAAGGAGCTGGGTATCTCCAGTTCCCAGTCGTAGCAAGCCCCAACGTGGGGTGGTGAGGAGCCGCGGAGGAGATAAAAGAGCTTCCCTCCCAGGCTGACTGTTCGTTAGGTGGACAGTAGAAGCCGTATTGTTGAGGGACCCTGTGAAAGCACAGGGGCACCGGGGAGCCAGGGGCATCGCACCCGAAGGCAGGTAGAGGGCTGGACACGCAGCCCCAGCTGCACAACGCCGTCGCTTTGCTTCTTCGCTGCTCCTCTGCATCGCCCAAATTCAAGGCGCAGCAGTGCAAGTTGGCCTGGCCACCTGCATGGCGCGGGCCAGAGGCCTCGGTGCCCAGCCGAAGGTCTCCCGTGCAACCTGCTGCGGCTCCACACCACTGCCACTGGCAGCTGCAGCTCTGAACACCAGCTTTCCAGACGGTTTGTCGAGCCTCCAAAACTCTGGCTGCTTTTCATACTGTTGGAAGACTTACCGTCAGACCCCCCGCCCCGCAGCCTCCCCGAAAGCGCTGCTGGATCCATCACGGAGGACGCTGAAGCCTTGACTCGGCAAAGCCCATTGGCACTGGATCGGAGCACGCCTGCTGCCCTCTATGGCGGTGCCAGCCTGGAGCTGCACCAGAAGCCCCCACCATTACCACCTCCAGCAGGGCCTGGGAGACCACGGAGCTGCCCCAGCTGGGCGCGCGGTTGTGCGGCTTTGCCGGTAGCCGCAGACCAGTCCTCTCTCAATAGAGAAGCCACCGCTTCCTCTCACCGAAAGCTGTTCTGGTTGTGGTTGGGGACCAAGCAGCCTCAGAGGAAGCGGCAGCCTATTCAGCAAGCTCTAGAAAGCAAGTTTTACTTCCACCTGCAAGCTCAGGGCAAGCAAAGCACCTGACGTGTAGTAAGAGGAAGGGTCTCTGTCTCACATGTGGTGGCTGACTTTGCGCTCTCACCGACGCTGAGCTACCGGACCCCAGCCTCACGTAAGGGACTTGCTTCTCCTTTCCCCAGGAGGGAAGTGATCAGCAGCCAGCGCTGCTAATCCCGGTATCGCCACTCTTAATCTGAGGAGCGCTTGCCACATCAGCCCTCAGAGCTGCAGGCTGTCACAGCACCTCCTCAGCCCCACCTGCCCTGAGTGCCCCAGGGACAAGAACTGCACCACCAGATAGCCAGGAAACCACGGTCTGCTCTTGCTGTGCTTGCCCAGACTCTGCCTGAAGCTACCTTGCTTCCCCAAAGAGAAGGGTGTAACACGCTCGGCTCTGCTCTCCCCACAGCCACAGGCTGGGCAGCCAGGCTCCCTCGCTGCAGGAGGACAAGCCAGCCTGGACAGGGCAGTGAACAGCATCTGACTGGAGAACGGAGTAGCAGAAGGCACCTGCACTGCTACGACAATGAGACCACGGAGCTGGCCCTGGCCTTCCCCCCAGTTCTGGCTGCATCGTAGGGCTAAAGGGCCAGAGCCAGAGTTTGGGCAGCAGCAGCAGGAGGCGAGGCACACAGCACACCTCCAGTTACAGCAGGAGGAAAACTCCTTGGGAACTGGGTCAGAAGCAGCCAGAAGTTCCTCCACACTGAGCCAGTTAAGCACATCCCTGCAAAAGCACACCAGCTCCTGCAGCCAACCAGCACAATGTGCAGTCACGTTTGAATTCTCAGCCCCCACGATCAGGCGCCCATGTGCAGTAGAGTCAAAGGAGCCAACTTTTTGCACAGGGGAAAAACGAGGCTAGAGCAGACCCCATCCAGCAGAAAACCACCTCACCTGCAGGGGAGTGTGGCCACAGTTGTTTGAAGCAGCCTGTGCAGCAAAGCAGAGGCTGTGCCTGGCCGAACACGAGGCCGTAAGCTGGGCAAACATTAGAGCCCTTCTAATTAGCCACGGCTTTGCAGTCTGGAGCATCCTGAGGAAGGAGAGAGCAAGGCTCTTCCCGAGCCAACCTGGACACCCCCCATCCCCATTATCAGTGGTCTGCAGCTGCAGTGGTTTGAGCTGGGTTTATTTACTGTTGGCACTGCCAGCTTCCCCCAGGAAAGCGTGACGGTTTTCAATGGGTGTGAAACTCACTGATCAATGCACAACACGACACACAGCGGTGCCGCTGCTGCTGCTGTCAGGACCCGTCCCTCTCAGCTTGCAGCAGGTCTGCAAAATAGCACCCACAACTGATGGACAAAGGCTGCCACCACCCCAGTCCTGGCTGAGGGATGGCGAGTGACAGCCAGGGAGGCACCCAACAGTCCAAAGAGAGCCATCCCAGCAGGAAACGTTCACGATCCACATCTCGCTTGCAGCGAGCCTTTCCTCCTTCGAACCCCACCGTCCCTGTAGCAGCATTTCAGTGGCTCTGTTAGGGACAGGCAGCCTTTCTCACAGGAAGCAGGCCAGAGCCCAGAGCCCCACACCTCGTACACAGTCATCTACCTTCTGGACACCATCAGCTTGTGATTCTGCCAACCACAAGCCCCACTAGCGTACCTGGCACGGCTCTGCAACCCCAGCTCAGAGCTGAGAGAAGCCCAGGTCAGGCTAGCACACTGCACAAGCCCACACAGTTACTGCCTTACACAAGACCCCAGCGCGTGCTTCCCACTAGGAGCCTGCTGCAGAGGCTCTCCCCGGTGCCAGCTCCAGCCTCAGCCGGCCCCTGCAGGGGCAGGTGAAGTGCAGACCAGGCAGGTTTTCCCCTGGCTGGGCCCTCGCAGGGTAGAGTGCAAACCCACCCCGCAGTCTCCCGGTCTGTCATTTTGTGGGTGAACGGTGGGTCAGGATGTGCATTCGTCTCCTTTGGGTCAGAACTGCCATCTACACCAGGTCCAGTCACAGGACAGTTTGCGGTCACAGAGGGGACTCACTCTGCTCGGCAGATGAACCAGATCTCGTTGCGGCGCTGAGGGATGCTGGGATTTTCATAAGCAGCCACGATGTAGGTTTCCCGGAGCACAGTGTCTGTGGAGCCCAAGAGCTCCCAGAAGAGAGCGATCTCTCGCAGAATCGTCTCCTCAGTGGTCATCCCGTAGAAAACCCTGCAGCAAAGGGAGCAACGTAAGCAACACAGCCAGCACATTCCCCCTTCCCACAGCCAGGGCTCCCATCCCTCTGTCCAAGGAAGCGCAGCAGCCATGCAGGGAGTTCATACACCCTGCTGAGCTGAGAAAACACCTCTGGTGCTGGAGTCACCTGGTTATAACCCGGAGCGGTGCCCTCTCGGTGATGCGGACTTCGGGGTCCATGGGAACAGGAGGGTTTTGCTGGAACTCTCCCGGGAGATAATAGGCAGTTACGACTTCACGCTCCAGCTCGGTCCCCTCCTTGGTCAGGTGGATTTCGTTGAGCACTGGGACTGTCATGCCCAGATAGCAACCTGGAAGGAGGTAGGAAGGCAGCAGGCACATTGAGATGGCTGGGTCAGTAGCGGCAGCCCTCCTCCCCACTCCAGATGAACAGCGGCAGGGCCCTCCCTCTATACGGCCTGCCAGCCCCCTCCAGCCCCTGCCTGCACACACCTACAGAGTTCTCCTTGCAGATGTAGCGCATGAGCTTCATGAAGCTCATGGAGATGCTCTGCTCATACATGGGCTCCCCCTTGGTGACACATGCCCACTTCCCAGCTGGGTACCGCCGCTCCTCGTAGGCTGCTTCCTCGCTCTGAAACAGGCCACAGACAAGCCAAGTCAGAGTCAAGCACACCGACAACACTGCAGCACTTGGGTGGCAAAACCAACACTGACAGGCAGGAACTGGGGAGACAGGACCCTGCCAAAATGAGACCCCCTGCTAGTCAGTGATTGGCAGGGGAGGCCGGAGAAGGCAAGGGGAACTGGCATCACATGCACCTCAGACGAGGACACTTAACAGCACTGGGCAAAAGTCAGTGAAAGGAAAAGCACAGACAGGGGACAGGGTGCAGGGAGGCTTGGAGGCTCCTGGCATGCACAAGGAATACAGCACATCCTCAGCAGGGGGCACAGGACTTTCTGCTCCTCTCCAGTCACTGTCCTGCCTACTCACAAGGATGTTCCTGATTCCAGGCACCCAAAGGCCTCCAGTAAGGTTGACGTTATTCTCAGGGGCAGTGCCTTTTCCCTGGACCACTGCGTGCACAGAGGATAACAAGCAGAAAGCCTCGTCCCCAGTAGAAGGGAAAGTCTGGCAGAAGAGCTCTAGCACCCAGAAGAGCTGTGAAGGTTGGAACAAAACTCCTCTTGGATTCTTCTCCCATACCAAGAATTGACAGGAGGAAGAAGAGATGTGAACCCAGCTGGAGCAGAGGGGACAGCTTTCTGGGATGGGTCAGAATCTCTACTTCCAGCACAGATGCCCAGTCTTCTGGACAAACCCAACACAGAAGGGGGGCAAGGGGAGTGGGAAGATTGCATCTGGCTCTGCTCGTAGTTCAGCTCATGGCATGGTTATAACCACAAGTACTGCATAAAGAGGGGCAGGGAAGTTGTAGCCAGCACCTATCCTCCTGCTCTCAGCTTGTTCTTCAGCCAGATTAAAGCAGTCATGAGACAACCTTGTTCCACAGAGCTCAGGGCACTTCTCCAGACTTCTGTGCTCCACAGCTGTGCTGGCACTGAGTGTGGCAGGAAGTGGTGACCAGCCTCAACACTGAGCGCAGCCTCCCTGTGCCTCCACCCAAATTGGGTCTCTACTCAGAAAGCCAAACCAAAGGCAGGAGGAAGGCATCTGGGCTGCTCATGTGCATCGGTGGGCTGCCAGGAAGAAGAGTGCCCCAAAACACTGCAGGCCAGCCAGCATTCACCCTCTAGATGGGGCCATGCCTGCTATTGTCCCACCAAGCAAAGCAGAGCAAGAGCATTTTCCAAGCACGGAACCTGCCAGTCCCTCTAGGCTATTTGCAATTCTCATCTGCCACAGCATCTGCAAATAAACCTATCAGCCCAGCAAGGCGTGCTGTCTGGTCCTTCCACAGACCGATTATTATGTTCAGCAGCACCGCTCTAGAAGATGAGACCTGACCAAGAGGAAGAGTGAAGGTGCTTCACACAGACCCAGTGGCAACAGGTCCCTGCGATGTGAGCTAGGGAATTTGACTGAGTACTGACAGAGCAAGGCTCTGCAGGTGGCATAACAGTTCACTTGCCTCCAAGAGGATGAGGGCTTGTAGCACTGACAGCTCAGGAGGAGCAACCAAAAACTAACGACCTGCCCGAGCCTGGGAAACCTGCCCTTAAGGGCCCCAGCTCCGGAGGCCGCTCAGCACGAATGCCACGAAGAGGCTTCTATCTCCTCACCCAGCCCCAGAATCAAACTCTGAGAATCCTCCTCAGGTGCAGAGGGGATGCCAAGAGCAACAAAAGATCTTCAGGCCCCACAAAGTCTTGGGGCCCCATTCCTGCCTGGGACCAGCATAGGTAGAGAAGAGCCCAGAGAAGTCCCTGGGACCCAGAAGAACAGGGGAAGAGGGAGTGTGGTGAAGCCCCAGTTCAGAGCTATACAACCCTCAGACACCTTTTACAGGCAGGAGTGCTGGACCTCAGCCCAGAAGAAACTGGTTAAGCTCTCCTCATTTAGAGGACAAGGGACAGATGTCTTCTTGGTAGCAAGCCCAACCAAGCCTGCAGAGACGCAGGAACCAGTCTGACAAGCGCTTCTTCACAGTTATTTCTCAAAGCGCAGAAGCACCCTTTTGTGCAAGAGATGAGAGGAGGTGTGCAACTTAGCCAGCAAGAACGGGAGATCTTCAGGCAGAAGCTACCGCCTTTGGATTGGCAGTTGTGACAAACACCACCACATGCTCAGGTCTGCCAGCCAGGCCCCGTGTTCCCCACAGAAACATCCTTATCTTGTGCCAGCTGAGATCGCCAGCTCAACCGGTAGCCACATAACTAGCACAAACACAAACTCAGCAGGAGTTTGAGCTACGCGACAGAGTGTTTTGAGCAAGGTGGGGAGCAGACTCTGAACTGAAAATTTGCTCACTTGGATGTGCCCACCCCAGCAGAAGACAGGTTGGTAAAGGAGGCAGCTGGAAGCCCCAGAGACCAGAGAAAGCAGCACGACTAGTCCGATTTTACAGCAAAGGCTGGGGAGTTGAGCATTGCCGTTACTCAACACAGAAGACGACGCAGGAATGGCAGAATGCTGCGCCAATCCAGAGTCACCATCCTGGCTGCAGCGCTTCTGCAGAAACCTCTGGAAGGCCGGCAACGCGCAAGCTGACTCGCAGCTGCCTTCTCTGCGAGGAAGCCGCTCTTCCCGCTCCCCAGGCTGGCGGTGGCGACGGTGATGGCGGCACCCACCCACCCACCCCAGCCTCGCCTGGCCGCGCAGAGAGGAGCAGGCCTCACCTTCTCATGCTGCGAGAGGGTAACGTACGGCACGGGCTCGCGAGCCTGGTTGTGCCGGGTCATCTGGACGATCGGGCCCGCCATGTCTGCAAGGCAAAAAAGCAGAGGTGAAGCGAGGTTCGCCAAGGCCGGAGAGCGGAGGGGAATCCCGCCGCGCACCGGGGTCCGGTCCGGCCAACCCCCCGGTACTTGCCACCGGCTTCGAAGCCGGTTCTCAGGACGCTGTCAGCCGTGGAAAGCCTCTCCCGGCCTCACCGCCTCCGCGGCCCGGTTCAGAGCCACCTTCCCCCAGGCTGTCCCGGTAACGGATCCCCCGTTCCCCGTTCCAGCCCGTCTCCACGCTCACCCCGGGGCAGGCTCACTCGGTGCGTGCTGGCTACGGCTTCCCAGTGCGCGAACAACCGGCCCCGTTCCTGCTCGTCCTCCTCCTCCTCCTCGCCGTCTCCGCCGGCTGCGGCCTCCTCGCCCAGACCGTCCAAATCCTCCAGCGTGATCCGCGCCATCCCCACACACACACCCGGAAGCGAGCGG